ACACTGCAACATCCCAGAAGACAAGTCATCTTCAGATCATCGCCGTGAGGACCTGAAATCTCAACCGTGTACGACGAGGACAATCTTTTCGCGTGCCCTAATTTCGTCTTCGTAGCGACTGAGAATTAACACGAGGCTAGATGCCTCCAGTTTTGAGGCACTTAATACGCTCTTGCTTGGATGCTACCAATTTACACTGAAATTAAAGCAACGTTGCCATGACAGCGACAGACTTGGGTGGAGCCGTCAGTAGAAAAACCTTATTGTGTCCTTACAAATCCTTCCTACAGATGAAATACTTAACAGCTCCCCGTCGCCCCGGGTAAGGCTAGAAATAAAACAGTCCACTAAAGCTCCCTTCCGTTGTCTTGTATGGGTGTAAATCTTGGTCTTCCACAGATTGAGGGTACTTTATGACAGAGTACAAATAATAATATTTTGACGAAAATCGCAAAACGAGGAATTATGATTATTACGCTCGGCATTGGGGTCTACCACAAGCTTCTAACAAACGTTCGTGTTTCATAAGCGAGAAAAATCATGAACAAATTGAGTTCAGCCCACGTCCTAACATCCTATTGCTTTCATATCCATTTTAATATTATCCTCCCATCTGCCCGTATCTGCCTGAAGTCACATCTTCACTTCAAGTTTTCATATTACAACGTAAGCGTCCCTTATCAGTTCTATGCGTGCCACATGCCCAGCCCATCTCATCTCATCTCAATAACGTTAACTGTGTAGTAAGGACATGAAGGTTCAGCGCAGAGAGCACAAAAGCTCACTCGGTTCAAAGCCTGTACAGTTAATTTCACATCGAAACCCGTAAATACTCCTCAAAGCATTCCCTTTTAAATGGTTCATCAGTCTTAACTCTCGAATCAGAGATAATGGTGAGTCATACCTTGCGTGACTGATCCTCAATCTTTCACCCGCCATGTCCCCCAGACGTCTCCTGGCAATAAGATCATTTCTCCCGGTGCCATCACGCACAATTTCATTAAACACACGGCTACGTTCAAGTCTTCTCATTAGTTTTTTTTTTGGAGCGTAAATTCATTCCCGAAATTACTGACTGGGGATATGAATAATTATAGAGTAATCTGCGTCGGTTCATCGTAGAAAGATAATAAATGTCATAGAAACCAACATTTTCTGATTTGGAAGAACAATCTATGCCCATTAATCCTTCGACGAACAGTGGTAACTATACGTACCGACTCCTTTAAAATTAACTAACTTTGCATTTTGCCTACATTGTGTATTTACGTATTTCGTATGTTTCTCAGTGTAAACAGCGATTATTTCCTTAAACAGCGTTAACCAGTTGATCTTTGTAATGGTGAAGTGCGGTGTTTTCTTCGCGGTACGGACTGAATTCTTTAATATTAATCAGACGAACTATGATCCTCATAATAAACAGCGATTACTTTCCTTAAACAGCGTTAACCAGTCGATCTTTGTAATGGTGAAGTGCGGTGTTTTCTTCGCGGTACGGACTGAATTCTTAAATATCATGCAGACAGCCCTCGGGATCAAAAGTTTAAAGGTAAAAAAACTGTGTACTTAATAGGGCGCCATGTTATTAAGACATAAGGAGGTATATCTGGCACCACACATTGACCTCGAAACTATCCCGAGGATTTTCGTGGTTATCCTCAGTCATTTCCGCTAACTGCATAGCACTTGGGGGGGGGGGGGCGAAAAATTGAAACCACCGGTGTGTGTAATTATCCACTCTGCTTGTACTTCGTAGGCGATTGTGTCAGTAGCAGCCGAGCAGTGTCTACTAATTAACGAGATGGAACAGCGGATACCGTTTCATGCACAGCCATCTCGGAGCCAATCACAGGACACGGAAAGTCCCATTCCTTCAGAAGGCTATTAGCATCTGCTCGACACATGTAAGGGCTTAAACGATGCCCTGACTGGCACATTGGCAAACGGACGTTTCGGATTTCGATTGAATTTCGTATTAACTTCCCATCTTCGCCTGGGTCTTCCAAGTGGCAACTTTCCTTGAGGTTTACCATCTAAAATTATGTTTCACTTTCTTATCTCTCTCATGCACTCTGCAAGCTCCACCCATTTCATCCTTCTTCACTTGGTCGCCCTCAAATTATGAGACTGCTCTTTATGTAGAATTTCCCCCGCCCTCCTATTTTAATCCATTTTAGGTCCAAATATTCCCCTCAGCTCCCTAGACTATACTATTGACTATTAGACAAGAATCCCGACTTTGAACACGGGCTGGGGAAATCGTGTTGTTTATTGATCCAATATACGAAGACACTGAAGGTCAGTGGCTCTCTAGTACTGCTGCCCCATCTGTGAGCAAGTCACGCAACTACAACAAGGAGATGGTTCCTCAACTCAATAGATGGAGACACACACGCATATGAGAAGAATACTGATTCGCAGGAAAAGGAAGTAGCCAGTGGCGGTTCGTGTAAATACAGACTTACTCAGCTACACATAAGCCCCCGTGTTAAAATTGCATCAACAGTAAAGTTTTGTTAGCACTGATATTGCAACATGCATCTGCCTGAACACGTAACTGGGTGTTGTACAAAAAGAATTCATATAGCATCATCATACGAAGCTTTGACTCATCCACGAGTACATGTCGTAAGCACGGGATAGGTTAGAAATGAATGAACGAACTGAAACCTTGATTTAACGATAAGAGTAATTTGGCGTCTGTTGCAGTGCACTTTCGTTCATGTGCCAGTTAAAAGGTTAAATTCTCCTGTTACTCACTATAATGTTTATGAAATTCATGACAATGCACAAAGAAGACTGATTCAATACGTGCCTAGTTACAAGCATTCAACCTATGATACACAGAATATGCATTTTTACATCAGTGCAGTTAATTATAAGAACCGTGACGAATAATGGATACATTCGGTGGTTAACATATAAACTGACGTTGAATAAGCGCGTTTTAAGTAATTTTCGAAGTGCTTAAAGGAAATGAATTTGTTTCTGAGGGTATCTGGGAACAGGTTCCTCACGAGAAATGATAAGGTGACTGGAGAAAATTGCGTAGTTTGAAGCTTAAAAATTTGTAAAACTTCACCAAATATTAGGATGATGAAATCAGGTAGGGAGATTGGCGGTACATGTAACAGGCACTGGAGAAAATAAAATACCCTGATGATAATGCAGGCAGCAAGAACCTCTGAAACGTCGGTATATTTCTACCGGACGCAACAACCCAGAACTCGGACTCATCGCTGTGATAACCTCAAATCCTACACACATTATTTAAATGTTAGAAGAAAAAAAAGGATGTGAGAGGAACAATTATTGAAATGGCTTATGGGAGTATAATTATAATTATAAATATTGTATAGTCAGAAAACAATGCCACTAGAAATAGTTACATCAGAGGCGTGGGCCCTAAAAATCCGGTGTTAGGGAGAGACAATCTTCAGTAAAAAGAACTTAGATACTGACTGGCTGACATCCGACGACTACTTGCAGGGCAGATTTTTGCCACCCCTGGCCGCGAAGAATCGAGTCGTCTAGGAATAGCGCGGACGTCTGCCATCCACCCCACAGCTGGTCGTGGGTGGAGGCGAGGTCTCTTCCAGATTGTTTGTACACACACACCAGAGGGTTATCCTGAACCACATCTCGCCGTCTGAACACCGCCAAGTTCCTCATATCTATTGATTTATTACTACTATTAACACAACACGCACCCTTGTCCCCACGTGACTTCTGATGTCATGTCGACTCTCCAGGTATTTCGTCGAATTTACCGATTACACCTTAAGTCTTTGCTGAAACTTGGTTTTTCTATCCTGATTTCCTCCACATCATCACTGCAGTAAACAAATACCTACGAACTGATAACGTTTCTTTCCTCCGAGGCCTGGGTTCGTACCCCACAAGAGAATCATAGCGGACGAAGTGACACTGCGATACGTTCGATTTTCCCCTATCGATATTATTCAATCGCTGCTCGATGTTCATTCATGTATCACCTGGGAGATGGATAAAATGAGCGCAAAATTCGGATATCAGTTCGCATGTCTCAAGAATTACAGAATGGATTTCGATTAAATTTGGGGATTTTACATCGAACGTTGTTGGGCGAATTTTATTTAAATTCAATATCAATGTGAATTTACGATGTAGTTAAATCGGATTAACTGATAGCATAAAGTCCACGGCACAATTGTATTTTTTTTGAGGGGGGGGGGCGAAATTACACATGATAAATGCTAAGGAAAAAGCAACAAATGCATTCATTTTGCAGTTATTAATTTATCTACTTTAATTTATATCTATTAAAAAAATCACCGCACAGCGTTCGAGACCGAAATACATTAACTACTTCCTGAGTAATTTGTACAGCCCTAAACAGGCTGTTACCTGTGTTGGCACTCCTGCTTCGTATTCCGGACGTACCGGGATTGATTCTCGGCCCTCAGACCGTCTACCCTGACCCGAGGCATCTCATACTTCAGATACAATGTATCTCACTTCGAAAAATTATATTCCGTAGCAAGTATTATGGGAGCCTTAGATATATGAACACAAGCTCGTATTATTATCTAATTAAGATAGAACTGACGGAAGTCACTGTCACATTTTTAACCCAATTTTCTATATTTATATATTTTATACATGGGGAACTAATCTGAACTAGAGTATACTCGGCCATGGCGATCAAGTGGCCAACAAAAATTAATGCATAGTAGACAATCACTACTTTGAGTTAAACAAACGAAAGATTTCTTTTAGGGAACCCGAAACATTTAATAGAACAGCGACAGACCCTTTCTTACGCGTTCAAACTGCCCGCAAAAATTTATATTCTGTACGAAATTGACAACATGTCGGATGTCAACTGACATCCTACGCAACGTATGTGAAGGAAGTGACAGTTTATTGCTCATGCATCGCCCAAGTACTCTGCTGGTATCTGTTTTCACTTCCGGTTCGGCTGATAGTGACTTCCGGTCCGCCCACACCACAGAACTCACCACTGTCAGACTGTCCAGTTCGCCCAGCCACTCGTTGAGGAGACGCTCCGGGTCTTCCGGGTCAGAATCGGGCTCCGGCTCGCTGGTCGAGTTGTACGACGAATCCTCACAGTCCATAGCTCCGGAGCAACCTGCAGACACCGGAAAATACAGTAAACCTCCTCCTTACGGAATGTCAGGGGTCTTAGAACATTTTGCAGTCTCAGACGCGTACTGTCTGACAAACAGTGCACACCAAAGCCTGCGTGTTTTTCAAATGAAATGCCAACAGGCAGACCTTGAAGTTTGCTGTAGTGGTTCGTATTTAAAAAATAACGATAACTTTGTGTCCATTGTTTGCAAGTGTTCAATCAAAACCACAGATAACTGTAACACAACGAAGATAACTGCGTAGCTTGGTCTGTAAATACAAGTTGCTTGACTCGTTCTTTAATTTTTATGGAATTATCAGCGCAAAACTGAGAAATATATGACAATATTCGTAACGTACTGCATACTGTTTGACTGTAAACTTAAAATATACAAATATGACATTTATAACACCAGATCTGTAGAACGGGGAAGCAGATTTCATGAGATGTGCTTTCAACACCCCCCCCCCCGTTTTATACGGAATAATTTCAGACTGTACGGAGTGTCATGTCTGTACTAGTGATTAGCTTTGCTACATTTCATATGTATAAAGAACATCAAGGCCAATCATATAAGTAACATCGAATACAGGGTGTTTAGAAAACTTGTTCACTGCCAACAGGACAACATCCTCATATTTATGTTTCACAGTAGTCAAACCCAGTGCTCAAAATACTCGTAATTATTATTATTATTATTATTGCTCAAAACCGAAGCTCATCTAAATAACTTTTAAGAATTCAGTCCGTACCGCAAAGAAAACACCACAATTCACAATTACTAAGATCATCTGGTTAATGCTGTTTAAGGAAATAAAATATTTTTATTCTGAAGAGTTACTGATGGTACAGGTGGTACATATAATTACCACTGGTCTTTAACGCGTTAAACGTGCCAAGAGACATATGTGACCGGTTTTACAAGGTACACTAACATTCCAAAGAAGTTCTTCATTCAAACTGGTGATATTTCAGGTTCTCATGGCGAAGAGTGTGAATATGGCTGTCTTCTGGGATATTGCGCCATCTACGATGACAGAAAATGACCGACGTTTCAGAGGTGCTTACCGCCTCCCATCATCAGGATGATCGCCCTACGATGGAGGCAGTACGCACTTCTGAAACGTCGGTCATTTTCTGTCATCGTAGATGGCGCAATATCCCAGAAGACAGCCATCTTTGCACAAAATAAACCTACAATAAGTTGGCACAATACTTAATTAGGTCCAGTTACCGTAGCAACCGGTAGCCCGCCGGCCCCTCTAAGAATCAGTCCAGGTGAAACAGCTTTCTGCGCCTTTCACAAGGCCGTGAAGCCGGGATGCAGGCGACAGGAAGTACCCGGTTCTTTTTCCCGCCTTCTCCGAAACTGACTCTCATTAATGCGCTTCGTCAGGAGGAGACGAACTTCGAAAACGACTTGACATCACCTGACCCATTCCCAGGGCGCGTTCCTACATTTGAGCTACATGGAACAAAATTTGCCGGCCGTGAAATGTCACCGAATGCAAGTCACAACTATGTGCTATATTTGATACACAGATGCAGGATTCCAACACGGAAATCTGACCGTAATTTTGACGAAATTATTTTCATAAAATTAAATCAGATCTACAAAAATATTTTGAGTTGACAGATCAATTAGTGCGTGTGTAAGTTCGTATATTCAAGTCCGCCATAACTTGACCATATCTTGAAGATCAAGTACAGTTAATCTCTACTGATATTATAATTTTATTGGACAGAGATGAAGCTTTCTGAATCCTCTCAGAACGCAATGAGCTACAGTTTTAGTCAGTATGAGTACTCCACTGGCAGAAGTCTTACGATTTCAGAATACGTTTTCTCGTGTCCTTCGAATATGGCTTTTGACATCCAGAGACAGAGGTTAAAACAAATGAAATTATATATCCTGCCAACAGCTTCTAAGTACAGTGGTCCAATCGTCATGGAACTCACAATTTATCACAGCGGCTAGTTATTCGTGAAACTCGATAAAGATCACAGACTACCAGGCTCCATATTTAAGCAATTTCCCTCAGTAGTGATGAAACTACGGTCCCACCCTTCAACACCACGGGAGAGACGCCTTAGTTCAATGCGCTGTTACAGAAACAGTTGTACTTACGTTCTTGGACGCGCTTTGAACAGCTGCAAACATCCTACTTTATTTTTGCTGTTAATTACTACAAAGCAGTGGACCTTGCCCGTTACTGGGCTCTAGAATAGATCTGCTGATGGATTTCTTGTTATTCTCCGAAAGATATCCTATTATTTTTGTTCAAACTTGCGGTAACAAATGTTACACTTTCAGAGATACTGGAGTAACTGCAGCGTGTGAGCGAATACATTAAATTTTAATAAAATTATTTCAGAATTCTTTCAATTATTTTAAGTGTCAGAGTTTGTCACGTGCAAAGTACTTATCTGTGTTACCCGAATGTCCCCTGGGACGATGTTGCGTGAATTCATATTTGATAAGATGAAATGTCTACTCCTATTCCAGTGCTGCATAATCTGCAGGTAAAAGTGTCTCTTTGTTTCTATGTAAAAAAACTTGTAAAATTATTATCTGCAGCTCTCAACAAAGACATTAAATTACCTGACGTAGTACACACTTCAATTAAGAATTAACGATTTGAGCCACGGTGGTCTAGCGGTTAGAACGCTGGCCTTGTAATCCTGGGGTCTCGGGTTCGATTCCCGGCGGTGCCAGAATTTATAACTTGTGTTGGGCAAGGCCGTGGTCTAGGCAACACGGAGTTTTCCTCCGTGGCATCCCAACAATTACTCCATTCACACACAGAAGAAGGCAATGACAAACCACTTCTGGATCATCTGCCAAGAACGTATATGAACAGGTCCCAGTCCGAGAAAAGGATGGAAGGATCCTGTTCATATGGACCTGTCGCCAGACAGCACACTAAAAATAAAATAAATAAAGAAACTGTAACCCGCTTAACTTTGCATTATTGTGTAGTTTTTACTTAATTCGCGGGTCATGACTTCATTTTTCAATTCAGCGACAATTGAAGACGTAACTCACGAGCGTTTTAAAACTTCAATATTGGCATATTTAAATATCACGAAACAAAAACAGATCCCCGGTCTGTAATCAAGTCAGGTAAGGTTATCGCGAGAATCACCGTGTGACAATAAAACTGACGTCGTCGACAAGATGAGATGAAGCCACAGCAGTTTGATGAGGCAAGTGGCGGATCATCTTCAGAAATGCCAACACTCAGCATGAGGCGGTCACGTGAAGACTCCCTTGACGAATCTCCACAGCTGACCTCGCGGGTTGCAGGTTTCATCATCACAGGCAGATTTATTTCCATGCTGTTCTAATTAAGCTACGGATCGACCGATTCTGTCACATGTTGTCACACTCCGACAGAAAAACAAAGAATGAAGGTGTGTGAGGATAAAATGTGGCCAGAAAATTTGGGTCTAAAGTAAGAGAGACGAATTAATAGGGTGCTTCATACGAAACCATTCGAAGCCCAATGAGAGAGAGAGAGAGAGAGAGAAAGGGGAAATTGGTGGGGGGAGAAGTGAGAGACACTTCGATTTCGGGGGGGAGAAAGAACATCTTATAGTTAGGAGGTTCCCAGGCAATGCCCTCTCGTCCTTCTGTTAAGGATAAAGTAAGAGTGAAGACGTTAGTGCGATAATTGG